CCTGGAAGTCTGATTTGCGTGGAATTTCTTGACAAAATTTAATGAGAGACACCGACAATCGTGAACGCATGGCGTTAAGGTTCTCATGTGGCGAATGTGCCTACCAAAACACCCGAAAGGTGATAATAACCCATCGACCTTAATCCAGTTAAATGATGGTTTTGATGAAAAAGGATCCAAACTTGATTAAAATGTTTCGTAAATTAAGGTTTTACCTCAAAACCTGACACTTAAATCTATGTGCACTTGGTAAATTAGTTTAAAGGTTAAAAGGTTTTTCTTTGGTAAGATTTACTGGGGAGTTTAATTACACAAATATATGGGAGTAATGAAAGAAGTCAAGAAGTCATCAAGAAGTGACATTTGAAAGTACGGATTGAAAAAGCTTGTCGACTTAGCTGATATGGATAAAATAAGCCACATTGGTTCGATCAAAAGGCAACGGAAGTGGTTACAAGTAATTGACGCTCGACCCTTGGAGGTACTGATAAGCTGTTATTAGTAAAGCAATGGAAAGGTGTACCACGAAACACTTCAATTTGAAAGTGTATGAGATGTTCCAACCGGCGGACATCCAAGTTGCTTATCTTTTATCTAAGAATCTGATTATCGCCTCTCAATAAGGCAGAAAAATGATGATAGGCTCTTCTGTGATGTCAAGATAAAAGACAACGCTTCTTCTTTTCTGTGACTAAACATAATTAGTCAGTGAATGCTATAATATGCAACTCAATCATGGCCTTATCTTTTCCGGGGAATTATGTGAAACAATCTATGTAATTCCTAACGGTAGTTACTTCAAAGCCCACATCATTCCATCACTTGAGGTACAGAAAACTAGTAAAAATATAGACAGTGGCTTTTTTTAAGATCTCTGTCTTTAACTAATTCACTGCGGTTACAAAAAATTATAAAGATTAGACGCTTTAGGCATTCAATTACTCTTCATATCAAGTTTGTACTTGTCAAATCTGTACTGCTTATGATTTAAGCATGCATCTGTAGATCAATTGCATCATTACCAAATCGAAAAGGAAGAATGGACACTTTATATTCACAGAATCAGCAGGCCCCTACTGCTAAGGTAGTAAGTACACTATATGGGAGGCAATAAACCCTAAAAAAGCGGAATCCTTCATTTTTCCTTAAGTATTCAAGGAAGGCAGTTCATTTAGATGCTTTAGACTTACGCAGGTTTACTTAAAACGACACTCTTATTGATGGTGGGCACAATGGGATCGCGATTTTCAAGTTCGGCGCTGAAGGTGGGAAAGCAGTGGCGCAGATGATCAGGAACACGTCTGGGTAATTGGCAGTCGATGCTGGAAACTCGAACCTGTCGAATACGTGGACGCCCAACCAGACGATTTTCCGCATTCTCCTTGTAAAGTGAGTTCAGGAAATCCGAGAGGATGAACTGTAAGGTTTAAGACCAAGAGTGATAATTACAACCATCAATTTTGGAATTAATGCAAACATGAGTGGTTTCCCATTTCAAGGGTTGTTTCTGCCTTTAGCACTTTATATGAATCACATTGTCCTTTTATGTTTGCCTGTGGCACATCGTTGCTACGGGAGATATGCAAGTTACACAGGAACTTCCAAACTGATAAGGCAATGCATTTAGGAAAGTGAAAACTGTATTTATTCACGGTATTATCATCTAGTACATTTCTACAACCATTCCAGCGTCTAATCCACACTCGTGGGACTTCAGTAGAGGATTGTTTGTCATTATGGTGTAATAACCCATTAAGGGCCTGTTTTCACTGTTTTGATGCTAGTTTTGGCTCTGGAGTGAAATGATGTATCCAGATTTTGTAAACTTAAAATCCTTGATCTTTTCCGACAATGTTCTTTCAATTCAATGCAGCACTTAGAGCGGGTTATAGGCAAAAAGAAATTTTAATGGCCGAGGTGCACGCACTGACTCGCCGAAATGGCAAATAGTGGCATCCGCGATTCTTTATGTTATGTTCATCGCTCCCACGAAAGGACCCGTCTCATTAAACATTGACAAGAAATTCCACGCCAATCAGACTTCCACG